TTTGTGGGGTGGGGGGATCCATGGGCCGTGTAGCATAGAGAAGGCAAATCTGAATGAGAATGAAGGAAGAAATGTTTGCAGAAAGGACGAGGGCTAAACGTCGGAGAAAAAACGAGCTCAATACAAACGATGGCAACAACGGTTTTGAAATCCCATGTTAAGAAAAGTGGAACTCTTTTCTTTAGGCGGGCGGGTCTTGCTAGTCATACTCGCCATCGCCAGTGGTTGCGAGTACCATACCTTATCACAACAGCATAATACAACCCTATTTTCTGGAGAGACGGAAAGGAGCTGGTAATAGTAGTATTTGTTCAGGGGAAGCAGCAACCGGAATGGCAGCATTAATCGTAGCAGCACCAAAAACTGTTCATCGTGATGTGGTGCAACAAGAAAAAAAAAGTAAGCGTAGAATATTTGGAGACAGGCGGGAAAGTACACAACTAAAAACTTGCAGACCAAGGAAAATTAGATCAGCCAGGAGTTGAAGAGTAATGTCGCGCTGGCCAGCGGGGATATTAGCCTCGTTAGGTTCCTGGACGATAGTTGTCTCATCTCGTACTTAAACCAAAGTCCACTCAACGCAAGTTAAGTAGCCGTGAGGACATTTCTAACGTCGTTTGGTTCCTCCCCCTTGTTTGGTCTGTCCCTGGTTCTTTGTGTACCCAGTCATCCCTGGAGTTGCCAAGAGCAGATAACTCAGCATTAATGGGATCAACAAGGTCTCCTGAAGGGTTTTTGCTTCTCTCTCTAGTGGACTCCCGTTTTCCCAGACTCGTATTTTCTTCTGTCTTGCCCTCATTAACTCGTACAAGAAAGTTGCCGATGTTCCTAGGCACGAATTAGGTCTCACAAAGGCTAACACTTTGTGTTAACTTTGAGTGGTGGAGCCTACATAGACTGGGTCCATGGGTTCCCTGTGTGGTGGTGGATCCTACCCACACATTGGGTCCATGGGTTACCTGTGAAGTAAAGTCTACACATACTTCATTATCATCATCAAGTGCCCTGCCAGCTTGCGTAGACATTCATGCATCTCCATTGATTCCACTAATGATATTCCTCCATTCTACTGTCTTAAGCCGTCTGCCATCATTTCTTTGAGTCTGCCTCTGCCCATTTTACCAGTGATAGTTCCAGTCGTTAGGATATTTTCAAGTGTTCCTTTTCTCATCATGACCAAAGACTTTTGTCTCCTTCTCGTATGTAATGTTTGTTCTACTTTCATTAGCCATGAAACAAGAGAGGCTCCATAGACTGACTGTTTCAGAAACAAGTCTCCCTACACACTTGACATCCTAGTGCCAGCCTACCATGGGCAGACCCTGGTGGACTTGATACTTGGATTCCAGATTGCGAAGACACAATAGGTGCCATCCTTACCTCGATAGATGCAAGAGTCTTTTATGTTTATTCCCAAACAAGGTTTATATGCAGAAAGATTACCACTCAGTGACTCAAAGAGACACTAGTCACATGAAAATTCAACGAGAGATTCCCATAAACCTTGTTCAACCATAGCATACAGCACACATTTTTGGGGCACCCACTCATTGTGAAATAACCTGAGGTTCAGTTTACCATATACACCAAACTAGACCATTCAAGTTTAGTACTGTTAGTGTGTTATCGAATGGTCTAGGATTAAAGCAAAGAAGAGCAAGACTGCAATCTAACATACAAACGAAACAACATGAATCATATACTTTCTTTCTTCTCTCCCTTTTTGTACATGTCCTGTTTGTTGTATTATAAAGGTTGGTGTCTTTTATGGATAATGAACACTTCATAATTTACTATTTCATTTGGCATTATGTGTGAGTGAATCAGTCAGTCAGTAGGTGGATGAGTGAGTGAGTGAGAACGATGAACAAATAAACATCCTTTTTTTTTAAAAAAGGTCACAAATTGGCCATGCAGGTTCGTCTTACATGTGTGTGTGTGTATGTATATATATATATATATATATATATATATAGAGAGAGAGAGAGAGAGAGAGAGAGAGAGAGATGGGGGGGGGGGGGGGGAGAGAGAGAATATGTTGCTTTCACTGAAGACCATGGTATGACTTTTTATTTTCCCATCATCTATTTGCAGCTTTACTGCAGTTACTTGGCCTTAGTATACAAATCAAAGTGCCGGAGGAAACAGCTATCAACACAACCAATTGCACTTACAATCATTTTTTTAAAATGCACACGCAATCATGTACAACCGACTTTAATATTTAGGAGCATGCAACCGTGAAATCTTGCAATAAACTAAAGAGAAATCAATGGAAGCTCAACATGACAAATAGAACCCCCCATTTTTCAAGGCGAAGAAAGACAAAATTCAGCAAAATTACACAAACATGTTAAATAAAAACCTTCCCCTAGCTATACTGTGCTAATCAAGGTATCTGTCTTCACCAGGCGTACTCATGGGCATGACTCTTTCTAGAAAAAAGTTGCCATTAGTCAGCAAAAAGTGGCTCACGTGCCGAACTGAGGGTCACAGGTTAAGGTTCTCACGGAGCCAGATTTTGATTTCTGCTTCCAGATTCACTCAGCCTTAAACAGGTACAGATAAGTTCCTGGGAAGTAAAAGCCGACTGGTCTGTAAAATATTGGTCTAGCCCTATATGCCCAATGGTGGGGAAAAGGGTCCTTAACATTTACATAGGAAAACAGCAAACCAAGAACATGAAGCACATTCTAATACAGGCACTCCTGGGAGCTGGCCCAATCCCAGGGTCCTATATTGGAGTACATATTAAAATCAGTCCAAACAATGTCTGGACTTTCCTGTACACACATACACAAGTATATTACGGTTATGTTCATGAAGGTCAATGAAGTGTGCTTGGTAAACACAAACATTGCATCCATGTTTTCAATAGCCATCAGCAGTCATTAGTCAAGGCTCCAACAGCACTGCCAACGGCTCGCCCCATACCAGCACTGTTCCTGTGCCAGTAGAAATCACACAATTTTCTTCACTCTCCCGTTTGAAAACTAGAGGGAAAACCTGTCAGTCCCAACAAAATCTCGAAGTTTGTACAGGCTAATGCAAAAATGCATAGGGCAGGAGTCGGATGTGCCGATACTAATGGTCCCACACCAGAACTGCAGTTCAGTATTAACACTGCACATATAAAAGCACATGCCATTCTCAACATAACTGGTCACCCACCATTTTAGAGCAGTCAACAACTTATCATAGGCACTACAGTAAAAAAAAAAAAAAACTATTTCACATGAAATCCACAGCTCAGTGTTGCACCAAGCACTCAACTTGGTAGCTGAGCGATGGAACCTTTAGACTCTAGGTTCAGATATAGGGAATTTGTATTAGCAAAACCTAGCTGAAACAAACAAGTTTTTAGAGTGTCAGCAGTCTGCTGGCTATCGGCCAGTTTGGCTTGGCTCTTAAATGTTTTAAATGCTGCAGGTGAAATGTGAATTCTTATCCTTCAGAGTCAATGCTTAAACAGGATCCCACATAATAAAACAAGCATGATCACCATACCCAGAAACCAAACAAAAGACATGTGACAACACCCCCACAACACATGGTGGCATAAACAGCAAGGGAAGTTACTCATGTGAATATGTGACAGACTGGAAACAATTCTCAAGAAGGAAAGATTCAATACACAATGACCACCAGTAACAATCCCATGTACAACACAGTAATTTTATTCAAGCCATTATGGCATTCTTGGGTGTATCTGCAGGACGTATGCAGTTAAAGGGTATTAAAGTTGAAAATGCTGTCACCATGGTTGCTTGCCATTGCAGTTACCAAGTTTAGACAGCGAATGTTTCCCCTAAGATCTGCTAACTAGCATCTAGTGCACAAATGTATTCCTGAGTACAGACTTTCTCAATCTGATGTGAGCACCCAGGTCAACCTAACCTAAAATGAGCCCCATCAACAGCTGACTGCTCTATGATAACACAGGAGTGGCACCAAATAAATGGCCAATACACCTCAAGATGTGGACATTACATTAGTTTCGTCAGGGGCGCCAGATCCCCCCCCCCCCCCCCCCCCCCCCCCCCTGGTAATGTGTTCAATATTCACAAGGGCAGATGAAAGCGACTGCCAGAAAACTGTCTGGCCCGAAGTTATGGAAATAATCATTTCAAAATGAAATTCCAAACAAATATGATGAACACAACACTCATGGTTTTCCTGGCCCATGCTGAAATTAAGAATATTTTTTCCCACAACTTGAATACGTCGTAACCAGCCCTACAGTTGAACAGGCCAATCTCTGACTGTCCTTCTAAAAAAATTCAAGGGTATAAATTTCAGACAGGATCAGTTTATTTTTTCAACTGAATCTGAGGTTTCAGATAAACTTTTGCTGGTATGGCAAGAAAGCAGTGCATGAGAATGTCAGCAGAGATAGAGCTCCAAACAGCTTTAACCCTAACAAATTCAACAAGGTTTTGGTGTCTCTAAATCTGTACACACAACCTCCTGCATTACAATATACATCCATAAGTGTGCGTTTCATTCCCTTTTATCTATGGCTCCAACACATCAATAACAAATTTGAAAGCTTAGGAATATCAAAGGACAAACAAAGATATACTCAGGTAAGCCTTGTAGACTATGATGACACAAACTACTTAAAATTTATTACTATCAGTGTTCTGGGCAGACATGATGATGATGATGATGATGATGATGATAAGAGAAAATCAGACTTGTCAAAAGATGTATAATCATGGTGAGTTTTTAAAGAACTAGCAGGCACCGGCCGTCTCAAATTCATCTGACGGTGTACTTTCTTTATCAGGACTAAATTCTGTGGTGTACTGAAAGTGAAGCAACTAGACAAGAAAGCAGACAATGTGTTACATATGCATTGGAAAAGCTCAGAATGAATGAACCCACCATCAGCTACGCCAGGAGAGATTAAAATGCACATATTTATGGCACATGACATTTGACCAAGCCAAACATTCAACTTCCTTTTCAGAATCTTTTAGGAAACACAACCTCCAAAGTTACCGTACATTTCCCAAAGACTTCATAAAAGATTCCATGTTGTACTCATTCTCATACTGGCTTTCATCCCACAGCTCTCCCAAATTCTCCAGGATGGTGCGGACTGTTTCAGTCTTGGCTGTCTTTCCAGCTTGCCTGCTGTCTTCTCCGTTAACTGAGGTGTCTCCAGATGCAGCTTTCTTGGAGTCATCCAACACAAACAGATCCAGCAGCTGATCTGTGCCCATAGTCTGCAAACTGGAGTTTTCCTGGGTGATGACTGTGTTGGCAATGGCCATCTTGAACTTTTGAAGTCTGTTAACAGATTATATAAATTTCTTTTGATTGCATGTTTAAACATCATGGAGTTCTACCAAACTTAATGTTAGAACACTGTCATAACCAATGTGACATAGTATTTGCTAACTGCCTTTCAACTGACTTTTAATTCTATTGGACAAGCACTAGTGAAATAAACAGCTAAAAAAATATACCAGCTAGCAAATATTAAGCATTTTTTTTTTTTATGAGAGCACTAGAAAGGTATATATACTTTCCACATTCAGATCCATTTAGACTATTGCTACACCATATTTGATGGATGTTCCAATTCAGTCATGAAACGACTTGAAACACTTCAAAGAAGAGCTGTACATTTGATAAGTGACAATTACGGAAGAGACAATTCCAACATATATAACTCCTACCACTCCATAAACCCCTACTTTTCAATAAGGCACAATTTTTTCAGAAAATCGCATCCAAAAAATGCTCCGGATTACCTTTGGCTGTTGCTTAGATTTAATGAAAGACACAGCAAATGCTTAAATATACTACATAGCACAAAACCTAGGTTAAGGTTAGTTGCGTATCCTTTACAGGACGTTGCAGAACCAACCCCAGCAGCCCCTGGCTGTTGTGTGGTTTGTCTAGGCAAATTTAGGTCCAGTAGTTACAAAACCTAGGACAGACTCATATAAATCAAGCTTGCCATACTCCGCTCATCTGTGGAACCAAAAATATCAATAACCTCTATACATACAATCAAAATCTATTTGAATCTTATCTCAGCATAGACTATATGCCCCCGCAAAATATAATAGTTTAAAACATTATGCTTCCCACCTGCACCCACTTTATTACACTTTGTATTATTACTACTTAGAAATGGTGGTATAATGAGAGCAAATCCCAGGAATTGTGATTAAGAATTAGATGTAGATATGTATAATTTCTATGCTAACTGTTGTGTGAACTGAATAATGTATGTAAGGAGTGAGGCCACAAAGGCAGAATGTAAGACTGGCCCGTGTGCCTAATTCCTAACCCTTGGAAAATAAAGTCTGTTTGTTCCTTCGTTCTGTGTGTGCATGTGTAAGTGTGAATGTGTGTATCTTAACCTAAATGCATGCTATCCTCATGAAAAAAAAAAACCTAGCTCACTATTCCAAAGGACAAATTTTCATAATAGAGTATTCCCTGTGTGGATTCCAAGGCCACATTCTAGGGGTAAAAGGAATAGAAGCAACCCCCCCCCCCCCCCCTTCCCTCCCCAACAAACATATCAAAAAAGTCTAATAATTAGAAACATTTCCTTCACAGTCAGTACATCTAACTGATAAGTGAGGGACCAACAGTCTGCATATAAAAAAAAAGCCAGATCTATAAAAAATGTACACAAACCCAAGTTCTGAAACAAGATCAAAGCCCAGAAGAGGACAAACAACCACCAAAACTTCTCACCAGATTTTACACTCAGTGAACGCTAAGAAAAAGAAGAAAATAAAATTTCTAATAAATAAAGTAAATCTCACTGTAGGAAAATGCAGAAAGTAGTTTTACAACACACGACTGAGTGCCAACAGAAGACAGTTTTGCATCCCAAAGTACTAACAAGAGACTGAAGGAAACAGTCTTGCAAACAATGAGTAACAGGACAACAGATGAAAACTTTTTCCCCGTACAGTCTTAAAAATAAGCTAAAGAAAAATATTTTTGTAATATAGTTTTATAACATATTACTGACAGGAATATTGAAGAAAACTGTTAGGTAACACAGTATTAACAGGAAGGTTGAAAGAAATAGTTCTGTAACACAATTTGAAGGAAACAGTTCTGGAATTACTGCCAAGCACTTACCCCATAATCTTCTCCTCTAAGGTCCCCCTGGTTACCAGACGGTAGACGTTAACCACCTTCTTCTGGCCGATTCTGTGTGCCCGATCCATTGCCTAAGGAGAAAGCAAATCAGCTCATTATGATACTGTTCAATAGTTGCCTGTTAACAAAAACGAAGCACCTGTGCTACACCTAATAAATGGCATTAACAAATCCTACTAAAAAAAACATTTTTACACAAGTCACACACACAAAAACCAAAACAAAATCTTCAACAATTCCATTTTTAGATCAAACCAGTATTTAACTGCAAACAAAATAACAGTATATGATATGAATGTGGCAGGGAACAGACAGGGTTACATCTTTCTGAGCTGCAGAAAACAAAAATGTTTGCCATTCTCCAAGAAAAAATCTCCCAACTAAATGCTATGTTTAGCAACTGTGCTCGTTCTGGATCATTCTAAAAAGTTGCCCAGAAAAAAACCAGAAGCAATGCTGTTATTAGGGCTTCTCGAACCAAGTCTCTAGGGGTAGTGGTCTCCAACCTGGGAGGCACATCCTCCTAGGGAGTGTCAGTGTTGGGGGAGGGGGGGGGGGGGGGGGGGGGGGGGGGGGGGGGGGGGAGGGTCAAGCAATTTTGAAAGTGAGTGCATTTGTACTAGTAATTATCAACTATACTTCCATTTTGTTTTAGTTTAATTATAAATAAAATGTTTTTAAAACAAGTTATGAAATAAAACAAGGACATATTTGTTTTCATGAGCAGTTTGCACATCTACCATAAAAAGTCTAATTTATAAACACACACATTTAATTATAAATTAAGAATGCATTCTGACCTAAACATCTCGACATGCTTTCTGTTTTTCTTGTTGCAGAATCTATTTTCCTCCTCCTTTTATTCAAAATTTTTAAAAATATATTAAGGTGCGGGAAGGGGAAGGGGGGGTGCAGGGGTTTTCTTGCTATATGCCCAAGGGGGTAGCAGGGGTTTTCCCATATACTTAAAGGTGTGTCACCTGAAAAATGTGGAAACCACTGCTCTATAGCAAAGCCTGGAAAGGGACGTTTAGGGTTCTTCTGCACAAACCAGAAGTTCTGTTTCAGTGATCAATTTTGCTATGCACAGGTCACAAATACGACAGAGTGCTGGAGGTCCACAGCTGTGTTCCCACAGTTTGTCCTGCAGAGGTTCTACTCTGGGCCAGATTCTTCACTCTGACTGATGAGGCATAGACTTCTTCTTCTTCCTGTGTTCACTTTCTGACTTACACCAACAGACAATTTCTTGTGATAGCTGTTTTAGGAGTTCCCTTTTAGTTCCATTCCATATAACTTTGAGTACAGCGTTGACTCAGTGGGCCAGTATTCCCTTCTTAATGGGCTGTACAGGGAACATTCTTGCAGGACATGTTCTGTAGTCTGCACACACAGCCACAATGGAAAACTACTTAGACAAAGCCTGTGCATATGCTTGTTAAAGGCATAGGCTAGACTGCAAACTCATGATGCACAGGTCTAACCATTTGTGTGTGTGTACTACAAAAGCATGTGTGTGCAGTGCACAAATGCACATGGCATTTACACATGTGTGAGACAGCAGAGCAATCTCACCATAGCTACCCTTTCATATTATAGTGGACTAGAGCATTTTAGAAACCCCAACTTGGGTTTGTACCAGATAACAGAACAAGGAATGGAATTTAAGTGGCAAGGACAATATTAATGTCTCTCCAGTTACCTGTAAATCCTTCATGGGATTCCAGTCATGCTCCACAAATATGACTGTATCAGCCCCTGTCAGGTTCAAACCCAGACCTCCCACGTGGGTGGTCAGCAGCAGAATGTCAATGGATGGGTCATTGTTGAACCTGAGGATAACATTCAAAAGAAAAGACATCAATCAAAAATATTTTGAAAACAATTTGTAGTATGTTTTGTACACAAATGGCGGGCACCAGCAACTATAAAATAAACATCTACTGGGCATATCATGAGGACAAGAATCCCCTAACAGGCATCAAAATGGGAAAAAATTGACTGATAAATGAAAGAAACAATGATTTTCCTGCACTTGTAACAATTTGAATTACTGACTGAAATTTGCAGTCCCAAATAAAACACACAAAAACCACCAAGGTTACCGTTTACTAGATATTATGGCTGTGGTGCTTACTGTTAGGCTCTAGAAAACTTCAAAAAGTAGCAACAACATAAACAACAATAAAAAAAATCCAAGTGTGTAATAAGGGCTCACCTGTGTACAATGTCATGTCTTGAACCTGTGGGAACACTTCCATCCAGTCGCAGGAATGTCACACTAGGCATACAGGCTCTGTAGGAAACATTTACAGTAATGATATTATAGTCTTACAGTCTTTAGGAGGCATGGTAGTGTTGCAGCTAGATGCTTATCAGCTAGCTCAAATGTTTTGAGTTCAAATCCGCAACGAGACGGTATTCAATATCGACCGTGGATCCCAAGTCAATTCAGCTTAAACGGGTACACGGGCAATGTCCCCGGAAGTAAAAGCGGCTAGTATGATGCTGACCACATCTCCCATCAAGGGCAATGTCCTGGGAAGTAAAAGCGGCTAGTATGATGCTGACCACATCTCCCATCAAAAGCAATGTCCTGGGAAGTAAAGGCGGCTAGCATGATGCTGACCATATCTCCCATCAAGGGCAATGTCCTGAGAAGTAAAAGCAGCTAGTATGATGCTGACCACACTTCCCATCAAGCGCAATGTCCTGGGAAGTAAAGGCGGCTAGCATGATGCTGACCATATCTCCCACAAAGAGCCGGCCACATCCTTCATCACGGGCTAACATGATGTTGACCATATCTCCCATCACGGGCTAACATGATGTTGACCATATCTCCCATCACGGGCTAACATGATGTTGACCATATCTCCCATCACGGGCTAACATGATGTTGACCATATCTCCCATCACGGGCTAACATGATGTTGACCATATCTCCCATCACGGGCTAACATGATGTTGACCATATCTCCCATCACGGGCTAACATGATGTTGACCATATCTCCCATCACGGGCTAGCATGATGTTGACCATATCTCCCATCACGGGCTAGCATGATGTTGACCATATCTCCCATCACGGGCTAGCATGATGTTGACCATATCTCCCATCACGGGCTAGCATGAAGTTGACCATATCTCCCATCACGGGCTAACATGATGTTGACCATATCTCCCATCACGGGCTAGCATGATGTTGACCATATCTCCCATCACGGGCTAACATGATGTTGACCATATCTCCCATCACGGGCTAGCATGATGTTGACCACATCTCCCATCAAGGGCTAGCATGACGCTGATCACATCTTTCATTACGGGCTAGAATGATGTTGACCACAGATCCCATTACAGGTTAGCATGATGTTGACCACAGATCCCATTACGGGTTAGCATGATGTTGACCACAGATCCCATTACGGGTTAGCATGATGTTGACCACAGATCCCATTACGGGTTAGCATGATGTTGACCACAGATCCCATTACGGGTTAGCATGATGTTGACCACAGATCCCATTACGGGTTAGCATGATGTTGACCACAGATCCCATTACGGGTTAGCATGATGTTGACCACAGATCCCATTACGGGTTAGCATGATGTTGACCACAGATCCCATTACGGGATAGCATGATGTTGACCACAGATCCCATTACGGGTTAGCATGATGTTGACCACAGATCCCATTACGGGTTAGCATGATGTTGACCACAGATCCCATTACGGGTTAGCATGATGTTGACCACAGATCCCATTACGGGTTAGCATGATGTTGACCACAGATCCCATTACGGGTTAGCATGATGTTGACCACAGATCCCATTACCGGTTAGCATGATGTTGACCACAGATCCCATTACGGGTTAGCATGATGTTGACCACAGATCCCATTATGGGTTAGCATGATGTTGACCACAGATCCCATTACGGGTTAGCATGATGTTGACCACAGATCCCATTACGGGTTAGCATGATGTTGACCACAGATCCCATTACGGGTTAGCATGATGTTGACCACAGATCCCATTACGGGTTAGCATGATGTTGACCACAGATCCCATCAAAGGCTAACTAAAATATAAGTCTAGCAGTCATGTGGCTAGGGGCCAGTTCTGTAAAAAAGAGGATCTCCATGGCAAAGTGGTCAGCCATTTGCTCGCGCTCTGAAAGGTCATGGGTCAGTTTCAGGATGCTGGAGCTACAGAGTTTGTATTTTGTGTGATGCTCTCTCGGCAGGTGGTTAGCTATTCTGTAGAAAGAAACCTGCCAGCACTCAATGGGTCATACAGTCAACATCACAACTTCTGTCTTTAACCTCTCAGGAAATTCATGGGTATACATTTTGAACTAGATCAATTCTTGAAAGGGATTTTAATGCATAGAAAAGCCACATATACTTACTTATAGAAAAGCCACATATACTTACTTATAGAAAAGCCACATATACTCACTTATAGAAAAGCCACATATACTTACTTATAGAAAAGCCACATATACTTACTTATAGAAAAGACACATATACTTACTTATAGAAAAGCCACATATACTTACTTATAGAAAAGCCACATATACTTACTTATAGAAAAGCCACATATACTTACTTATAGAAAAGCCACATATACTCACTTTTAGAAAAGCCACATATACTTACTTATAGAAAAGCCACATATACTTACTTATAGAAAAGCCACATATACTTACTTATAGAAAAGCCACACATACTTACTTGAGCAAGTCCTTCTCCACAATGTCCAACATACTCTTGAGCTGACAAAACAGAAGAACCCGATGCTGGCTGACCACTGGAACTGATTCAGCTGCTGAACCTGCTGAGTTGGCTACTGCCACACCAATGCCACAGTCGTTCAGCAGTTGTCTGTAGGTTAACACAAACAAAATAAGTTCAACCATCTATGGTGGCCAGGTAATGTTATTTTCCTCATTTCTGTTATAAACGGTCATAAATAAATTCCATGGGTAATTAATGTTTGTCGACGTCTGTGGCTTAGGCGTTGCGGGCGCGCTTTGTAATGCCGGGTTTGATCCAAGCTGCGGGCTTCGCGCCTTGCGATTGTTTCGCCAGTGGTACTGAGAATCCCACCACCTCGAAAGCAATGGCAAACTAATGGACCCAAACTTGCCTAGAAAAACCACAACAGCCAAAAAAATGTTGGGTTTGGTTCTGCAACATCCTGTAAAGAATATGCAACTAACTCTTTTTTATTTTTTTTGTATTTATGTTGATTAACCTGCTACTCATGTATGTTCTTTACTTGTCCAAACTAAACTACTATTACAATAAATACTTGAATACAACTACTGAGAAAGGAAGAAAGAGAGCTCTGACATGAAGGAAAAGAGAACAACACAAAAAGACAGACAAGACATACAGAAAGACTAATTCAAATAAATTATATTTTCACTGTTTGACTGAAACAGCTGAACATTCTTATGTGTTATATGAATTCTCAATGATACAAATTTGTATCAAACCACAGAAACTGTACAGTTATGATGACCAGTGTTACACTCTCCAGCAAGAAATGTGTGCTGGAGTATGTCAGACACAGTCTCATCTTCTTCTCCATTGCGTTCACCAGCTATAAACTCCAGCAGAAAGTTCTGGTTATCTATCCATATCTGGACTTGTCTTGTTCCATAACTCGAGTTTATGTATACACATTCGTTTAAGAGATGTGACTTAGTTGTATGCAGACTGATAGTTCCTAGCCTCTCAGGCAGAGAGAGAGGCACTCTGATTTTGAAGGAAACCATCCTAAATGAGTCAGTCACCCCCAACTATGTGCTTGTTAGGAAGGCAGTGGGTCTCTAATTATGCTACCGCGACGACTTCTTATCTCACAGTATGCTCTGCAAAATCACCAAGTCGTCTTGTCCCTATCCGAACACCATCCGGTAATTCGTGCAGCAGGGAAAACCAACCCTGAGCTTCGGCCCACTCTCTGAAAACGTCTAGGAGATCGTGGGCCGAAACGTTTGTCGATGAGAGATTACTTCTACTGATTATTGATAGATCCCTGCTGTACATGCTCCCTGTGGAGTTTATTCCTAATGGTTCCCCGCAACAATGTATGGGGCCCCGGAACCCACACAGGAAGAGCATACCACCAATATTTAGTCACTTCCCACGTGTTGAGCACAAAAGAGAGAAAGAGACCACATGCAAGCCACACATACAATGGTGACAAAGAATCGACGAGGACAACAGTGAGCAGCTTACTTCAAGGCCATGAGTTTCGGGGCATGTAGCAAATCATGCAGGCTGGAGCTGTGCTGTTGAAGGTTGGCTGTGATCTCCTTGTAGCGGGGATGGGACGGGGTTAACACTAGGCCTGGGTGGTTGCAGACTTTGCGGAGATACTGAAGAGCCTACATTTACAAACATGACATCAGATATATAACAACTGAATCCACGCATGAAAATGAATACACCATAATAATCTATGCACTAATTTATCCATAAAAATTATCCATACGTAAATAATCATTATCCTGCAGCAGGTCCTTTTTTTTGGGTGAGTAGTGAAACTGGGAAGTTTTTGTATGTCTATTTTCCTTGACAGTCACTTCTTTTTCGAGGGCGGCAGCCACCACCAAGGGATGCAGAAATACAAAAACATCCCAGTTTTGACACTCATGAACCGTTATGCCTGCGGCACTTCCCCCTGCAGTAATTTTTTACTTATACACAGGCGTGTGTGGTGCTTCAAAGAGACTCACGAAAACATAACCTCGCACAAACATTGTAAACAGTAAACGAACACCGATCGAAGCTATATCATAACACCCCCACAAGACAGGACCTGCCCTGTGACTGGCGGCCAAATGAATGGGACGGGAAGTAACTCTTGCCGTGTGGACACTATCATGATAAGTGTCCTTTTTCATATTAATGGTGCTGTGTATTTATTAGATGTGCTGATGAAGACTCTCTAGCTGCAACATGTGAAGTTGACAGGTTCTACTTTTCATCTGGGCTTGATTTTGATTCATGATAGTCTTTTTTTTTTTAATTTATATTTATTAACCTGCTACTCATGTATGTTCTATTTTTGTTCAAACTAAACTACTATTACAATAAATACTTGAATACAACTACTGAGAAAGGAAGAAAGAGAGCTCTGACATGAAGGAAAAGAGAACAACACAAAAAGACAGACAAGACATACAGAAAGACTAATTCAAATAAATTATATTTTCACTGTTTGACTGAAACAGCTGAACATTCTTATGTGTTATATGAATTCTCAGTGACACAAATTTGTATCAAACCACAGAAACTGTACAGTTATGATGACCAGTGTTACACTCTCCAGCAAGAAATGTGTGCTGGAGTATGTCAGACACAGTCTCATCTTCTTCTCCATTGCGTTCACCAGCTTGGTGTGCTGGCTGAAACTGAATATTTCTACTGGAAGACAAAAGGCAGAAACATAAAGAACAAACTGACCTGGAATATATGAGTTGTGCTCTGGTTTGTGACTCGCTTCTCTTTACCCTCCTCGCCTCCCTTCACTGTATCATCTACTGTGCGTTTCGCTCTAGATTTGGCAAAGTCTTCATACAGTTCCACCTTGAAGTTAAATACAATAGAACAAATTATTACTTCATTTTAAAACTGATTGCTCATTTTATAACCACTGTGGTTGAGAACTAGTTTAATCCAGAACTACTGTAGTGCCATGTACATATATCTTAGAGGCAACTGCTACCAAAATTTGCTAAATAAACAAGTGCAGTGTGCCTCAAGGGACATAATTTAGCACAGAAATTGGCTGTACTGTCTTGAGAGAAATAATTGCTAAAATAGTGAATTGTGCTCCTGGCAACAGTATCATGAGGAAAGGTAAGGGCTGGCCAGGATATCACTTGATATTTAAAATGTCACCAAAATTACGTCTCATTAAAATCACATACGAACCTAAAAATTTTTTTTTTAATGTAATTTGCTGTCTAGAAATATCCTTTCATTGTCAAAATAAGTTCATGCAACAATCAGTCTAACACACCCACCCACACTGCACTACAAGTTATTTTTTAACTATTTTGTAGTGACCAAAATAACTGTGCTATATAGCTGTATGGCTGAATGTGGTTTCTGGAGTTTGCAACTCTTTGATTCTCACCTCTAAGATGTTAACCCCAAGCAACAACAAACAATTGCTTTAAAGATAAGTACCTGACATATAAATGCAAAACTGAAAGTCCAGATGAAGGCAGAAAGGCAGAGCCAGGTACATGTTGGAAGAAGCAACTAAGCATTCATACCTGTAATGGGCTCAGGTCACAGTAATAATCTTGTATGATCTTTGGTGGCAGGTCTTGCAGCACATCCTCCTTGAGCCGACGAAGAATAAATGGCAGGACTTGCCGGTGGAGGGATTCCATTGCTAAGGCACCTGTGGTTGGATAGGAAAATGTTTTTGTTCTAACAAGTTTTTAGAAGTTAAAAAATGTATTTGCGTATCCATTACAGGACATCATAAAGCAACCTGTTAGGTGGTTTTACTAGACAATATTATCTTCAGTAGTCTACCACTATTTGGGATTAGCAGAGATGTTGTTTTATAGATCTTCTTCTTCTTCAAGTTCATCGGCTGTAAACATCCTCTTCTGGACTCTAGTCCTGTTCCAGAAATTGAGTGTTGCGTGCACATCTATTTTACAGGTCTGATTCATTTGCATGCAGACTGTTGGTTTCTTGCCTTTCAGGCATATGTACTCCAAAATGCTTTTGGGCAAGCATTGGGTCTATTCTTGTTTTCCCCCACAATGGGGCCCGGAACCCACACGGGGAGTTTTATAGATGAATGATAAGAATATCCTGAATGGATCAAATGAGCAATGAAGATGACAGAAACTGAATGATGAAGAGAACTGTCTGCCCACATCAGAAGGAGACAATCTATATTCACTGGTCATGTCACGAGAAGGGGAAAATTGGAGTACATCGTGACGGTGGGAAAGTCAGAGGGGAAAAGAGGTGAAAGGAGGCTAAGAGAGAAGATGCTGGACAGTCTGACATCATGGAATGGAAGATCATCTGTGTCAGAACTGACTGAAAGTACGCTAGACTGAAGTTAGTGGATAGACACCACAAGGAATAGACTTTAAGAAGAAGAAGAAGACAAAGAAGAAGAAAATGAAGTTTTCCAATGCTTAGTTTTATAAATATATAATAAACAAACAGACAATGTAGTGATCCGCACGCAGAGAAAGTAGAAGAAAGATAGAAGGGCACATTAGACAATATGCAAATCAAAAGCTGTAGTTACCGTGCCAGGAATCAAACCTGTCACCTCTAAATGGTGTGTGTATCTCACTGTGGAAACAAGTGTACTAAGACAGAAGACCAACTAGGCACCCCCAAAAAAAATTTGTCTTCATAGGCCATGTCTATCGTACAACTTGAAATCCCCAACTATGGAATCTGTTTTACAGACAGAATTTATCTCAAACCATTGAAATGACACCATATGGCACCATGTTTATTTATAAAACCCTTCTAAATATATTTTGTAAACAGCTTCAACATATTCAACTTACAATCTTTTCTTTAAAAAGGGGGGGGGAAGGGGGGGGGGGGGAGACAACAGCTTTATAAATGCTATACTTTCATAATTATAAATAACTTTCTCGCTAGCAATCGTACAACCTGAGATACAAAATGTGACTATACCTGCTTCTTGTTCTTTAGCTGTGCTTTTTGGATCTCTACTCTGTAATATTGGTTTCCCATATTTGGCTTGGAACTGGCGTTCAGTTCCGAGGAATCCTGGCATGAGAAAGTCAAAGAGAGACCACAGATCCAGCACATTGTTCTGAATCGGTGTGCCAGAAAGGATCAGTCTGTGATTACAAATCAGTTGCTTTGTTGCCTTGGCAAGCTGTCAAATAAGCAAACATATATTTCAGTGTTGCATCACTCATATAAATAGACAGTTTTTGAATTCTTAAGGGTTCATTTGCAAATAATTATGAAATTTAAACTAAGAAAATGAAATAGCAAATAGTTATTAAACAAAATTCAATCAAGTATTGACAATCCATGAGTAGCTAAGCAACAACAAATCAGTAGACACAAACCCCAGCTTTTCATAACTGAGATGTCTCCTACACTTCAGACCAACTGAGACACAACGAGTGAGGTAATCCAACTTATGTTGGCAATTTTTACTTCCCAGAAAATTTCCTTGGTGTCAATGTAAGCTGGATTGATGTAGAAACCATGACGCTACCATGGCTTCCATGTCAACACATATTTTATATACACTATCTAGAAAACACAGAGAGTTTGGTATAAATATTAGATTAGGGCCACATTTATTCATTTTGTTCAAATACACAAACTCAAAGTACAAATGAAACGACATCCTTTTTACTGAGTTAAATGTAATATTTGAGTAAGCAACATCCTTTTTAACTTTGTTAAATTAATATTTTGAAGAAGCGACATTTATTTTTACTGTGTTAAATGTAATGTGTGAGGAATGACATCTCTTTTACAGTGTTAAATGTAATCTCTGTGGAAATGACATTTTCACTGTGTTGAATAAAATGTCTGAGGAAATGATATCACTTTTGATGTGTTGAATATAACATCTACCATATAAACAACAAAAAAGACAGCTCTCACCTTTGTCTTTCCATTCCTGATAATATGCCCCTCGTCCAATATACAATAATTCCACACAATATTGCTGTCAGGGAAACACAGAGAAACATAAGTCACAAAATCTTGCTGAACTCAAGCATGTGAATAATAACAAAACATGTTCCAGTAACTTTATTTTATGTGATCACTTTACGATGAGTTATGTCCAGTAACTTTATTTTATGTGATCACTTTACGATGAGTTATGTCCAGTAACTTTATTTTATGTGATCACTTTACGATGAGTTATGTCCAGTAACTTTATTTTATGTGATCACTTTACGATGAGTTATGTCCAGTAACTTTATTTTATGTGATCACTTTACGATGAGTTATGTAAACTATTTTAAGTGGGCTAGGATACGAGAAGAGTCACTATCATCTTAGTGTGATGTGTCAGTATTGGGGTCCTATTTTAGAGGAATCCAAGAATAGACTCACTGACCCGTCTCCCCTTCCCCCTCATACACTCACTCACACTCGTACACACACAAGCATGTCATGAAAGATGACTTATTAGGGTTTTGCTGAAATCAAATGTGTTGGGCAAAATTGTGCAGAGCTGTAAACCCCAACATGACAACCTCCCTTCTGACGTGAATACAGAAGATGAATCACAATCTGAAGAGAGGAAACTCTCATCTCCACCTCCAGATAGCAGAGGGTAGGCAGCAGTACACATTAGAATAACTCAACAGATCTGTACCTGAACAGAGGATGGGTGCTCACATTTCTGGAGAGCAAAAAATGTAATCAAAGACAGTCATCCCAAACCACCCACACAAATTTAGACAGGAAAAAAAAAGGCTATTATATTATCCTTACACGGAAAAAAAACCAAATGTATGAGGTGATTTCACGTCTGGTAAAATGGCTTGACATCTTCAGCAGGTTTACTGCAGTCTTTAGACATTCTAGTAATTTACGTCAGGTTATTTTACATATGGAAGTCCCGTGGTGTAACCGCTAGAGGATTGCCTGTTGATCGGAAGGTTAGATTCAAATACAAAATGAGCCAGACTTTTGAAAAAAAAAAAAAAAAAAAAAGACAACCTTGGCTCCCGGGTTAACTCAGCCTCGAATGGGTGCCAGGTGAAGTCTTTTGAAGTGAAGGTGCCGGTGTAATATTCACCACATCACCCACCAAGTGACGACTGACATATGGTGTAATATTCACCACATCACCCACCAAGTGACGACTGACATACGGTGTAATATTCACCACATCACCCACCAAGTGACGACTGACATACGGTGTAATATTCACCACATCACCCACCAAGTGACGACTGACATACGGTGTAATATTCACCACATCACCCACCAAGTGACGACTGACATACGGTGTGTACCCACCAAGGACGACTGTAATATTCACCACATCACCCACCAAGTGACGACTGACATACGGTGTAATATTCACCACATCACCCACCAAGTGACGACTGACATACGGTGTAATATTCACCACATCACCCACCAAGTGACGACTGACATACGGTGTAATATTCACCACATCACCCACCAAGTGACGACTGACATACGGTGTAATATTCACCACATCACCCACCAAGTGACGACTGACATACGGTGTAATATTCACCACATCACCCACCAAGTGACGACTGACATACTGTGTAATATTCACCACATCACCCACCAAGTGACGACTGACATACGGTGTAATATTCACCACATCACCCACCAAGTGACGACTGACATACGGTGTAATATTCACCACATCACCCACCAAGTGACGACTGACATACTGTGTAATATTCACCACATCACCCACCAAGTGACGACTGACATACGGTGTAATATTCACCACATCACCCACCAAGTGACGACTGACATACGGTGTAATATTCACCACATCACCCACCAAGTGACGACTGACATACGGTGTAATATTCACCACATCACCCAACAAGTGACGACTGACATACGGTGTAATATTCACCACATCACCCACCAAGTGACGACTGACATACGGTGTAATATTCACCACATCACCCACCAAGTGACGACTGACATACGGTGTAATATTCACCACATCACCCACCAAGTGACGACTGACATACGGTGTAATATTCACCACATCACCCACCAAGTGACGACTGACATATAAATCTAACCCTATGTGTCCAATATGACTGAAGGCGTGGAAAAAGAATCTTTTCTTTGTATTTTTTTAAATATACAAGTTATTTTACTCTAGGTGGCATGGCACAGCTAATGAGAAGTAATTTTACATACCGTGGTGTGGTACAGTCGGCTCTGTGGCTAAGTCGATGCGAACGCTTCATAATGCCGGGGTACCCAGCTGCGGACCATGCACCTTGCGTTGGTTTTAACAGTGGTATCAAGAAAGCCGACTGTCCAGAAAGCAATGGCAAACTACTGGCCGTAAATTTGCCTAGAAAAACCAAACAACAACCAGAGGCTATTGGGGTTGGTTCTGCAACGTCCTGTAAAGGATACGCAACTAACCTTCTGGGTGTGGTACAACTTATGACAAGTTATTTTACACCAGGTGGCATGGCATAAATTATGACAAGCTGTTTTACACTAAGTGATGTGGCATAACTTATGAAAAGTTATTTCACACGAAGTGGAATGTCACAACTTATACTGAAATACTGCAGTGTTAACTCTTTCTCATGCCTTTAATTGTGTGTTCAGCACATTTCAAACCTCACAGCTGTTACCATGGTATGCTTTACAATTTTCAAGCACAGATTTTACAAAAAAGTTTTCAAACAAGAAGACTTCGCCTTCAGCTAAGAAAGAAAATCTGGCAATTCTCAGTAATCAAATAAATACTTTTGCTAATTTCTGACCACTGATTGTCAGTCTATGGGTCAGCACAGACACTTTATCTCAAACACATGATGTGCTACAGAATGTTGTTACTGAATGCCACCTTTGCTTGGAATACTCTGCATGTGTCTTTATTCTATTTTTTCCATTCGTTGTTACAAATGACCTGAGATTACTGAGTGTTTGAATGTTATCCCTATTATTACTTTGTTTATTAAGCTTACCTAAAAAAGTCTATATCATTCCTGACCACATCGTAAGAAGCCACAATAAGATTGTGTTTGGGTACTTGCTTTTGTATTCTGAAACCAGAAACATTTACCTTTACAACAATAGTACATGCAATTCCCAATTTCAGTGGCAAATAATTACATAGGTGTGTGGGTGTTTACATACTTGCCAAAACAGTTTGGTGGGAGTTAAGTCAACAGAAACAGAAGATTTAAAAAATTAAAAATAAAAATTGACAAAAACGAAAACAGAAGAAGAGGAGGATAATATAAAACTGGGGGGGGGGGGGGGGGGGGGGGGGGGTTCGAAAAAAATGAAAAAAGGAAAATAAAAAAAAAAAAGAAAGAAGAAGAAGAAGACCCAAAAAAAATAATTTAAAAAAAAACAATGATTATGACAAAAAAATAATTTACATGTGTATATATATATATTAGGGCTGTACCGAATATTCGCTTCGTATTCGCTTCGGGGCCGAATAGTGGACCCAATAACTATTCGGTATTCGGCCGAATAGTTGCGGTCGGGCCGAATACAAATAGTGGTTACCTCACAACCGTTTCTGGACTGGTGGAAAAAAAACATCAAGACTTTCCACCTTGGTTTATACTGTGAATCGTTATCCTTGTGCACCACCTACGAGCGTACCAAGTGCCCCTTTATTTCCATCTTGCATGTGTTGCGAGTATAGTGTTTTTAGGTGTGTTGCTGTAGAAATAAAATGCAACACTTAAAAATGTAAGAGGGGCAGAAAAGCAAGTGTTCTAGTGTTGTAGGCTTGATTTCTTTGAGTGGAGTGTCCTCTTCGTTGATTTTTTGAAGTAACGGGAGTTCGTCATCATTTATGGGTGTCGTATCTGTTCTTTGTCGTCTCGTGGAAACGGCAGCGGCTGAATGTTTTGATCGACATTCGGTTTCTTCATTGTCTTTGTTGTTTGATCTTCTGGCGTTGGCCGCCCGGCGTCTGGTTTTGTGAGCTCGCGGGGGGCTGGGCGACTTGTAAGGACAGCATTGTTTTCTTCGTCGGCGTTATTTTTGTTTTTGATGTTTCACCTTGCGGGTTTTCATTTTGACTCTCTGTATTTGTCGTATTTTCCTGTTTAGTACAGCTGGAAATACCTTCAGTGAGACCTAATGCTGACAACATAGAACGAAGGTTTTTCATGGAGGTGTGTCAGCACACGAACTAATACGTGCTGCAGGAGATCGCAGACTGTGGCGAGGCATAATCGCCCATACCAGCCGGCAAAGCACATGATGATGATTATTCACTATTCGTATTCGTATTCGGCCAAATAGTTGGTCCAGCTATTCGTATTCGGCCGAATAGTGAAAATCAAGATTCGGTACAGCCCTTATATATATATATATATATATATATATATATATATATATATATATATATATATATATATGTATATATATATTTTCATTCACATACACACACACAAAATGGACTAAAGGAATCTAGAATCCACAAGTGTTAAGAACAACATAAAATCCTAAAATAGCTAAGTATAATAAAAAAGTAGAAAGAAAATACTAAAGCCTGAAAGAAATAATTCATTACTTAAAATCAGTAATAAGTAGTAAAAGCTGAGAATAACGTAGGAAAAAATGCAGGACTTACAAATAAATATTTCAATATGAAGTCGTGAAGAGTGTACACAATTCTGAGAATATTAAAGCAACACTAGAAATGAAATGTAATGTGTCTACCTACCTGACTCGTTCAGCCGGTGGTCCAACATACATCAAGGGGTTCAGATAGGCTGTATCAACAAACTTGCTGACCTCATAGACCCAGTGGCCCACTAAGGTTGGTGGACAAATGACGATGGAAGGCAAACTCTGGCAGTCTGCATCTTGTGAAGCCTATTTGCACATGGAGAAGAATTTTAATGAAAGACTATAAAACAGTTACAAAGCCAACTCTTACCCTGAGAGGAATTAAAATGAAAGACAAGAAACACTTATGATGCCTATTTTCACATGGAGAAAAATTTTTAATGAAAGACAGAAACACTTATGACACATAATATATATATATAAAACACATTAGTTTACAATGAGAAGAATTAAAATTAAAGCAAGAAACACTTTTGAAACTTATTTTTACAATGAGAAGAATGAAAAGGAAAGACAAGGAAAGCTTATGAAACTTATTTTCACAATGAGAAGAATTAAAATGAAAGACAAGGAACACTTATGAAACTTATTTTCACAATGAGAAGAATTAAAATGAAAGACAAGGAACACTTATGAAACTTAATTTTACAATGAGAAGAATTAAAATGAAAGACAAGAAACATTTATGAAACTTATTTTTACAATGAGAAGAACTAAAATGAAAGACAAGGAACACTTTAGAAGCATATTTTCACATGCAGATGAATTAAAATGAAAGAATGAAACACTGTTGCACTGGGCAACTAGACTTGCTAAGAGAAGTGTATTTAAAACATGGCAAAAAAGAATGGAAGAGTGGTTAGTGCGCCTGCCTGCAAAGACAATGGGCCAGGATAAAGCTAGGATTACATTTTTCCAACCAGTGAAGCATGAGTGCATACACACATAAGTTAAATGGGAATACATCATGAGGCAGATCACGTAGACGGTGGAGAGATAACATACCGGCAGACCTACAAACACTTGGGAGTCACCAGCTGGAAAGATATTTGCAGCAATGAACCCCAAGGGCTCCGAATGCTGAAGAAGAAGAAGAAGACAACCCCACAACCCACAGACCGCAAATAAAACTGCTTTACCACTTCACCACAGTCACCTCCTTAAAATAAATGTAATGTTGGTTTGGCTTATCATCATAGTTTTCATATTTACACAACTGTTAGACATATTTTTCCAAGTTCCTTACCACATATCTTTCAAACTTATTTCTGTTATGATCCTGACACATTATTTTGAGGCTGCGATTGAAATGCTCCTTGAATTTAAATGCACCATATTTAGAGACATATACAGAAATCTATTGAAATCTATAGTTACCAGGACAGGAAATTAACCTGTCAAGTCCAAATGACGAGAAAGGTATTATAATTAACGTTACAAGCAGGACAGCATGAGTTAATGTAGCAGCTGCCTGTTTTAAGACAGGCAGAAAACAGGACTAACCAAAGGATAAACAGAGAGTTGCATAGTGGAGAAAGAGTTAATGGATCACAACCAACCTTGTACTTGGCCTCCCGCTCAAGGTGGTCTGTGGCCAAGACACAGATGGACTGTAGGGTTTTGCCCAGCCCCATGTCATCACACAAGATCCCATGAAGCTTGTACTTATTCAAGAAACCCAGCCAGTTGACACCATCCTAGAGAAGTACAAACTCCAATGAATAAATGCTTCTTACGTCTCACATACCCAAATTAACAGCTCAGGTTGTGACAATATCATCAACACAACTTTCCAGATTAGATGTGCAGGTAGCCAGATTTACCGTTACTTACAATCAACAAAGTACAATGCTGTCACTGGACTTTATCAGCAAAATTCTTCTTCGTGTTCAACAACTGTAAAATCTGGTTGTTCGTCCACTTCTGGACTTTAATCATGCTCCAGAATCTGGGTTTTGCACATATGTTTTGAGCGTGCACATTCGTTTTACAGATTGGCTTATGTGTAAGCAGACGGTTGGTTCCTTTCCTCTCTGGCAGATGCACTCCAACTATAAAGGAAACATCCCTAATTAGTTAACTTTTACAACAAGCTTGTTACAGGGTCATTGTGTCTATTCTTCTTCCCCCAAAAATTTGGCTCTGAAACCCATACTGGGAGGTCAGCAAATTAAAATAAAAGTAAAAACACAGAAAAAATAGGACTTAATTAAATGTAGGCACTTAATGAGATGTCTGACCAATCCAGAGAAGTGTATTCCTTATATCCTCCTCTCCGATCTCAGCAACCAGTCAGGTGTATAAATAACACTGGTACTATCATCTGCAGAGAACTTTATTAGAGTGTAACTTCCAGGTGTGAGTTCCATTCTCTCTTGGGGAGGGTGGGGGGGGGGAGATGGTAGCCTAGCTATAAACCACAACCCAATGTGCCAACTATCCTTTTATGGGTGAATGCAGGAGGAGGAGGTAATAGTGGTCTTCTTCTTCTTCTTCACGTTCACCAGCTGTAAACTCTGGCGGAAGGTTCTGGTTGCTCATCCACTATTGAACTGCAGTCCTGCTCCAGAACCTGAGTGTTGCATGTACATCAGTTTTACAGATCTCATTTTCTTGAATACAGACTGTTGGTTCCTTGCCTCTCCGGCAGATGCACTCCGACTTTAAAGGAAGCTCCCCAATTAGTCGGCTCTTACGACATGCTTTTGGGGAGGCAGTGGGTCTATTCTTGTTTTCCCCACAATGGGGCCCCGGAACCCACACGGGGGGTAATAGTGGTGATTCAGCACAACACATAAAGACTGACCAAAATTAGGTCTCTGTTGTTTCTTCAAAACATTTATGATATTTCATTGTCAACAGACTCCAGCAGTCAGTATTTATCTAAGCCTGTGTGTTCATACAGATTTGAGCCGAGCTATGCAACAGTTATTAATACGGCTGGCCGAGTGGTTACAACGCTGGGTTCTCATACGGGGACAAAATTAAACATCCTTATCTGCACAGTCCGTGGTGACAGCACTAGCTGTGCGGCCCTAAATCCTCAGGCTAACCCCCCCCCCCCCACCTCTACACCGTCCTAAAAAAAGTGGTAAATAAAGACAGTAGTGGCATTTATATATGGTTCGTTTCCATGCCAGTGGAGTATATAGCATACGGTGCTAGACCTATATTTGTATAGACCAATCACCACCCTGTAGGTTCCAGGGCTCCATTTGGAGAACAAACAATAGATCCACTGCCCCATTAGGAAGCAGCTTGAGAAGGTGACTAATTTAGGGTGTTGCATTCAAAGTCAGAGTGTACATCTGCCTAAAAGCAAGGAACCAACAGTCTGCATATAAAAAAATATATACATCTGCAAATGCAGATAAGCAAAAAATTCAAAGTTCTAGATTAAGACCAAATTGCATCAGTGGATGAACAACCAGAACTTTCCACCAAAGTTTACAGCTGGTGAACGCTAAGAAGAGGATAGGATAACCAATCAGCACTCAGGGGGTAATATGTTCAATATGCTGCCAGCTATCTTTACTTCTAAGGACATTGTTGGTATCCATTTTAGGCTGGGCAGACAAGGCAGCCAAGGTTAATTCTGGGTCTTGATTGGTATTTGAACTCCAGACCTTCAGATCAGGTGGTGAGCATCTAGCCGTTACTCTACCACAGCTTCAACACAATTAATATGTCACAAATTTTCACACATTCTCAGTGGTTTCCTGTCACTTCTCCACTCTATGAAACACAAAAGCTTATGAGACGACATAAACCTTAAACATAAATTACTCATAATCACACAAACCTGTTGGTACTTCCTCAACTCTGCATTGATAGGCACTGTGATCTGGTAGTTTTCCACTTTTGACAGGTCAAAGAGCTGTTCTAGAAATTTTCTCTCTCTTCCTTTTCTTTCAGATAACCAGGTTTCTGTAGAAGGTGGATCAGGCACACCCGCCTGATCAGAAAAGATGACAAATATATATATATATATATACATTTATACATACATACATACATACATACATATATATATACATATATATATATATATATATATATATATATATATATATATATATATATATATATATATATATATATAGATATATATATAGATATAGATATAGAGATATATATAAATAAAGAGAGAGAGAGTTGGGGGGGGAGAGTAAGAGGTGAGTGAGTGAGTGGGCGGGCAGTTGCGTTTTTTTTTTTTTGGGTGGGGGGGGGCCCCTGGGTCATTACATAACCTTGACCTGATGGCATAATCTCTGAAAACAGAAACAGGAAAAAATAATTCTATTTTCCGCTGTTAAGGCAGTGTAGGAAAAAGGGGTGGGAATGATTTAAGGCCAATAGCTAGTAGCAGCGCCATGAGTTGTGCAGATTTTTATTTTTGCCACAACGTAAAAAAAAATTTCCATCCCTCACCTGGAATCGAACTCGGGTCTCCCACAGGCCAGTCGGGGAAAGTGTCCATAAGAGGTCAGCTCTACTAAACTGAAATTTGAAGCGATGCTTATGGTAACTCAAACCCTAAAATGTAACACACAAAAATACTACACTACTGAGATTACATTTGAAAAACCCAACAAAAACCTAAAACTCTTAGGATGGCCAGAAGAGTAGGAACTAGAAGACTTACCTCCCTTGACTCCCAAAGGAAGTAAAAGAGGACAAGAATAAGAAAAACATGGATTGCAAGAGAATGTGATAAGTAGAACGCGATGAGAGACAATCAAATATCACTCACTGCTTGGGGGTTGTAAGAGTTGAGCTCAAAAGTCGGAGCTTCTGTGGGTGTAGGCACACAGGAGCAGCTGATTAGGCTCCAACTGATTATGCATTCTCAAAAGAAATCTCAGGAGCTATATAAATCTGATCCTGATATACGGAGTCAATCATAGAAAATTCGTCGATTAATGAAAAAATATACAGAGGCAGCAGAGATATGGGTTTACAGACAAATGATGGGAACACAAGGGACAGATAAAAAGTGTAATGAAGATGTCTTGAAAGAAACTAAATCATGAAGAGAACTGACTGTCCACAACACTCTCTGGTTATGTCAAGAGAATGAGAAAACTGGAGTACACTGTGATGGTAGGAGTACACTGTGATGCTCCATTCTCATATGATGTTCAAAGACTAATACTTTCACTGCAGCAAGCAGTAGCTAGCTATATTTTGATTTTAAAACAGTTGAATCGCTGATAAACAAATGTGTAGGCTGACGACATTACAAGGATGTGTATATAAAGATATCCGAAGCTAAGTCTTACCTCGAGTGGCATCAGTCTCACCAGAGTAGCAAAGCAATGGGTAGCCATAAGTCTGACAGACTGAATCTGGTCTGACATCCGACCCAGGATGGGAATCACAAGCAGAACTATGTAAGGCAGGGCTTCTATGCCTAGAGATTCTAAAATATCTGCACAGCCAGTTAAAGAAACTGTGCAGCTACACATTGTTATGAAGGTTACTAGGTGAATGATAGAAATTTGTCATCCAGCACGTCATGCAATCTCATATGTTTTTCTCTATCACAAAATGTCAAAGAGTGTGGCTATGTATAAAGCTCACATATTCTCCATCTTCTTCCCAAAATGTTAGGCTATAGACACGTATATAAAGTCCACATTCACTTCATCTCTCTCTATTTGTCATAGAGTATCGACAATTAAAATACCACTGTCCCTTAACAAGCATTTCATAAAACGTAACTAATTATAAAGTTTTGCTGAAACTGGATGTGTTGGGCGGAAAGGTGCACGAGATACTGCAGCCTAGCTGTAAAGCACAACACAATGTACCAACCTCCGTTTTCAGGGCATACACAGAAGAATAAAGCAAGGATACTGGCAACTGCCTCTGTTGCTCCCTCCCTCATGTTGTCATCATCGGTGGCACCAAGTAACGGAATCACATGTTCGATCACATAATGCATGAGGCTTGCCGTGCTCCGCAGGCTCAAGGCAGCCATGACCCTGGCGATCATGTGGCGGACAGCAGTAATGTCGTGGTGAAGATAGTAACAGAGCCTGTCAAACTGTTTAATGAGCTGCAATAGCAAGGACAGTTGGTTGACAAGATAAATACATGAGTTCAAATACAACAGGGCCCAGTATGGATCCAGGAAGCACAAAAACACACACACACAAAACAGACCCACTGCCAACTAAACAAGCATTTCATAAAAAAACGCACTAATTATGGCGCTTCCTTTGAAGTCTGAATGCATCTGCCCGAGAGGTAAAGAACCACCAGTCTGCATAAAAATAGGCCACTGTAAAATGGATGTGCACACAATAATACTCAAGTTATGGAACAAGACTAAAGCAGAGAAGTGGACAAACAACCAGGACTTTCCTGTAGGTGAGCTCACAGAAAGAAAACTACAACTGGATTGTGGTGGTGCACCAAGACAAGGTCTCATACTGGTCCAGACAACACTTTATGGTCATCCTAGAAACAGAATCTAGATCAAGGACCTGGCCAGGTCAAGAGTTAAGGCAAACATGCTGGCTCTGGATCAATCAATCAACCAGTGCCGTCTCCACATTAGTAAGGCTGGCTGCAATGGATTCCCAATATGCTCTGTCCCATGTCTTGGTTTTACACTGTCTCAGACTGTTGTTCATCCATCTCTTGATGTTGTCCTCCCACTTGTATAGTTTTCTACCTCTTGCCCTCCACCTAGAATCTGGATATGCCATGCACTGAGAAAACCCGACAATATCTTTATTCAGTATAATGTAACTGCATCGAAAGGTCCAAATCAAAAGAGGGAGATCCAATAGCATCTGGAGAAGACAGGAGAGAAAACAGGAGGAGTGGGTGAGCTGCAGGTGAATGCAGAGAAGTGAACGGTTTGATGCAAGTAACAGAGGATCTATCCTTTTTTTAGAGATAAAGGAGAAAAGCAGCAGCAGCTGCAGGAAGAGGAAGAAGAACTGGCAAGAAACAGCAGCTATAAGAAATCAATGACCATTTAAGAACATTTCAAAGCATTAAAGGGTGTCAGACAGTGATTTATTTTCATTTTACAGTGAAATTTATAAAGCCTGCACATACAGAACAGTTTATATTGCATGTACATAGAGAATAAAGTCATGTTTGTGTATCATTCACATACAGTCATATTTAAGTAGCCTGCATTTACAGAACAATGAAATACTTTTGTAACCTGCACTACACAATAAGGTAATGTTTATCCTGAACATGCACAATAATATAATGTACATGTAGTATGTACTTACATAAGACAAGAAATTATGAAATTAACGAGACTTACGTAAGGTAACAAATCAGAATGCAATGCTGGAAGAACAGTCTCAGTAGTCTGCAGGTTATTTACAAAGTCTTGAATCTTGCACACATCAATGTCTGCACTGCTACATCCATCTATAACAATTAAGACAACACAAAGGCATTTAATTTCAGGCATCTGGTTTTTTTTTTTGTTTTTTTTTTTTTGTTAATATGATTCTTGATGCTGGTTCCAAAATTAATTTAGGGAAACAAGAACACAGTAAAAGAGACGAATGCAAACAGTGAATTCAACCAGCTCAAGTCAGGACTAGCAAATCAATGCTGACAATCCACTTCCTCTTTGAGTTGAGGCTGTACCCCTGTAGTCTAGACCAAAGTTTCTTAAACTTCTCTCATCACGGCACCCTTGTCGGGCCAACAAAAATGTCGCTGCACACTGCCCTGAATACTTGGGAAAACAAGATGCAGACCTACATTTTTATAGACAATTCGGCACTCAACGGGTGATAAGGTCAACTTTACTTTCCAGGTCTTTAGCTTCTACCCATTACTGGCTGAGTCAACCTGGGAATACAGGCAATTTTGACTAAAACTCACCTTTGAACCCTAAATCTTTGAGCTGGGAGGCGAGTGTCATTTAATACAGGTCAAAAACTGTCATTAGTGCCTAGATTTCCACTTCTGTGGTGTAGAAAGAACAGGGTGGGGTCTTTCAGCCTAAGGATTTAGGGCCACATGGCTAGTGCAATCAACAAAGACTGTGCAGGTTAGGATTTTATTTTTGACCATCGAAAGAAAAACCCATAACCTTAGAGAGAATCCAAACCCACATGATAGCCCAGCGTTCTTTACTGTTTAGCCTGCTGCTTTTCTTTTAATATGGGAACTAGGTGTAAAACTAGCAGTGGGTATGAAGCATCCACTTGGACTAACATCAGTACTGGGTGTAAAACTAGCAGTGGGTATGAAGCATAGACTTGGACTAACATCAGTACTGGGTGTAAAACTAGCAGTGGGTATGAAGCATCCACTTGGACTAACATCAACATGGGTACTGGGTGTAAAACTAGCAGTGGGTATGAAGCATCCACTTGGACTAACATCAGTACTGGATTTAAAACTAGCAGTGGGTATAAAGCATGCACTTGGACTAACATCAGTACTGGGTGTAAAACTAGCAGTGGGTATAAAGCATGCACTTGGACTAACATCAGCACTGGGTGTAAAACTAGCAGTGTTTATAAAGCATGCACTTGGACTAACATCAACATGGGTACTGGGTGTAAAACTAGCAGTGTTTATAAAGCATGCACTTGGACTAACATCAACACGGGTACTGGGTGTAAAACTAGCAGTGGGTATAAAGCATGCACTTGGACTAACATCAACACGGGTACTGGGTGTAAAACTAGCAGTGGGTATAAAGCATGCCCTTGTACTAACATCAACACGGGTACTGGGTGTAAAACTAGCAGTGGGTATAAAGCATGCACTTGGACTAACATCAACATGGGTACTGGGTGTAAAACTAGCAGTGGGTATAAAGCATGCCCTTGGACTAACATCAACATGGGTACTGGGTGTAAAACTAGCAGTGTTTATAAAGCATGCACTTGGATTAACATCAGTACTGGGTGTAAAACTAGCAGTGGGTATAAAGCATGCACTTGGACTAACATCAGTACTGGGTGTAAAACTAGCAGTGGGTATAAAGCATGCACTTGGACTAACATCAGTACTGGGTGTAAAACTAGCAGTGGGTATAAAGCATGCACTTGGACTAACATCAGTACTGGGTGTAAAACTAGCAGTGGGTATAAAGCATGCACTTGGACTAACATCAGTACTGGGTGTAAAACTAGCAGTGGGTATAAAGCATGCACTTGGACTAACATCAATACGGGTACTGGGTGTAAAACTAGCAGTGGGTATAAAGCATGCACTTGGACTAACATCAGTACTGGGTGTAAAACTAGCAGTGGGTATAAAGCATGCACTTGGACTAACATCAATACGGGTACTGGGTGTAAAACTAGCAGTGGGTATAAAGTAGTTACTTTAGTCAAATTTTTAAAATGCCCTCTACAATAATAAAACCAGCACAGTTAGATAGCTGTAAACAATCTCTTTCAAATGGTACCTCATTTAGGCTTGTATGTCATTTCTGAGTTGAGATATGTAGGTTTTTGTGGAGATGAGATGTAAAAAAAACAGCTAAAACTTGTCTTCCAGAAACAAGAAGTTTTCTCTGCGCAACCAAACTGCGCAACTTTTGTTTTTGCTTTGTTTACATTGGACTGTCATTGAACAAGATGGCAGCCAATGACGAATGAGACACAGCCACATAATAGCGATTGCCTGAAAAAATGTCACTGTAAATCTAAACAGCCACGGACAAGAAAGAAATTTTATACACAAATGTAAAATTGGACGGAGAATTCAATTATAACTAGCATTACTATGTCTGGTAATGTTTAAGGCCAAAGCCAACCTTGAATACTTTACCGCTATTTTCAATCAAACTGATGTAACAGAAAAACAGAGGACGTCCGGCTTTCGTAGACATGCGCTGTTAATCGGGTTCCTTCCAGCTGTTTTCAGCTATTTAGAGTGGGTGAAAATCACACCAATCGCAAAATTTCATGAGAGATTAGGACCCATCCCGAAACCCCAGCCGACATTTCCGAAGCAAGTTTCGAACGGTTTCCGTGGTAACGGAAATTGCCAAAAGATCGCAAATTTCCGGACACCGTAGTCGCTATATAAAGCATCCACTTGGACTAACATCAACATGGGTACTGGGTGTAAAACTAGCAGTGGGTATGAAGCATCCACTTGGACTAACATCAACACTGGTACTGGGTGTAAAATTTCTAGTGGGTACAAAGCATGTACTTGGGCTAAAATAAGTACTGGGCATAAAACTGATAGAAGGTACAAGGCATGTTTTTTGACTAATATTGTTATGGGAAACAAAATTGAGTAGGTATAAAAACAAGCACATGGACTAACATGGGAAGCAGAAACAAAACAGAAAGGGTACAAAAACGGTATGAAGAAGGGTATTGGAAACGAAAAAGGGTTTTGAAACAAGAGAACACAGACAAATGGATACTGGAAACAAAAGAAGATTCACAAACAAGTACAATGACTAACATCGGTACTGAAAACAAAACAAAATAGGGTACAAAAAAAACAAGTATATGGATTAACATGGGTACTGGAAACAAAAACAAATACATGGACTACCATGAGTACTGGAAAAAAACTGAGATGGTACCCAAAATAAAACAAAACAAAAACCAAGTACCCGGACTAACATGTCTGCTGAGAGTATAACGGATGTGAACAGATGACCATTACAATAGCAGGCAAGCTGAGGAGCGCTGTGCGGTTAAAACAGCTTTCATGGAGAAAACCCAGCTTCTATCATAGTAGGGTATGGAAATTTTGACTGTCATAGTAAAAAATACAAATCCTAGCCTGCGCTACATACAGCGACTGCACTGGCCATGCAACCTTAAATCCTCACACTCAGTCACCCCCCCCCCCCCCCCCTATTTATTTTTTGCATCACCCGAAAAGTGGTATAGATAGAGGCTTTAATGATGGGTTTTCAAGTTCTCATGGTTCATATTTCTGAGCACATCTAGCCAATATAACCAACTCTTCCCTTACATCTGCCTGAAAAATTAACTGAAAACTGCACAAACCTTTGCTGGGCTCCTCAAAGTGTTTGATAGCATCCACACAGGCAGACCACAATGATGGCAACTTGTCAGGCAGCTCATTGGCAAATGATCTACACAAAACAGTCAGGGCTGTCTCAGCTCCCTGCCTTTGTACAGACAGCTGTTTCTGTTGCTAGAGGGTAGATCAGAGCCCAAATAAAGAACAAGTTTATTTCCAAATTCAGGGTTATGATTCATTATCTCAGCCCTAACAACTGCACTGTACCACTGCTTCTTCTTCTTCTTCTTCTTCTTCTAGAGCAGTGGTCTCCAAACTGGAGGGTGGGGTTGGCTACAAGGAAGTTTCAGGGAAATGGGTGTCAAGCAAACTTTGAAACTGGGTGCATTTGTACTTGTAATAATCCAGATTTGCAGCTTTAGCTCAGGAAAACAAAAAAGCCCTGGCCACTTGATGGGGAAAGTGGTCTCCATTGTGCCTTGTCCATCATCAGACTAAAAGTAGCAGCTATCATCAAGACAAAACAGTGTCAACTATCATACTGATATTTGGCCACTAAATTACCACTTGTCTGTGATTGTTTCTTTTGTAACTTGACACTGAACTATGTGTGTATTTTTCTCCAAGTTCTTGTTAACAGTACTTAGGATTTTACTTTTTTGTCATTCATCCTCTTTTCAATTACATTTGTTATGGTAGGAAAGGTAGGGGGGTTCCTTGCCGCATACTCGAGGGGCACCACTTGAAAAAATGTTAGGGCCCACTGCTCTAGAAATAATAACAACTGGCACAGAGAAATCTCTGCATCAGACATGACTGGCAATAGATGAGGCAGAGGGCTGTGGCAACCACAGCCATACACTACTCTCTATCTCTATTTCTCTCTCTCTCTCTCTGCGCGTAAGTGTGTGCATGTGTGAGAGAGAGAGAGTGAGTGAGAGAGTAGCGTATGGCTGTGATTGTTGAATATATCCAGTGGAGAGGAGTGGGGTGGGGTGCGTGAGTGATTGAGTGTGTGCGTGAGTGAGTGTGTGCGTGCATGAGAGAGAGAGAGAGAGAGAGAGAGAGAGAGAGAGAGAGAGAGAGAGAGAGAGAGAGAGAGCGTGTAAGTGTGTGCATGTGTGTGAGAGAGTGAGTGAGAGAGTAGTGTATGGCTGTGGTTGGTGAATATGTCCAGTGGAGTGGGGTGCGTGAGTGAGTGAGTGAATGCGTGCATGCGAGAGAGAAAGAGAGAGAGAGAGAGAGAGAGAGAGAGAGAGAGAGAACTAATAACCCTTGGATGCTGAAATTAAAAAAGACTCAAGTATAATCAGAATACTAATATTAAAAACAACATAATACAAACAAATGCTAAGCTAACAGAGACACAGTACATCAAGTTAAGTAGCAAGGGTGCACGTAACACACACAACAGCAATACAAATATTGATAGTCACCTCCCGCTGTTCCTGAGAGAGATCTGCCTCTAAACTGAGGGCAACAGCAGCTGCTTCAGGATCTTCTGTCAAAGCAATGGCTGGTCGACGTACTTTCCTTCGCACCCTATGGTCATTCACCTGCAGAGATGTAAAAAAAATTTTTTACTTGTCATAATCCAAGGGTGTTTATTCGCTAAAGATTCTATTCTCACTCTCTTATAACATATCCTTCCCCTCACCTTTCTCTCCCTCCCACCACTACCTGTCTACAGATAGGCGATCTTTTTTTCTCTTTAGAATTTACATTACATTAAAACATGTTGGCCATAATCTTAATGCAATAACATAAAACAAAAACCTGCATCTGCCCCGCAACATCATAATTTATGACAAGAGTTTATATGAAACTCCCATCTTTTCACACAACAATATGAGAATCAATTAAGGATTTACAGTAAAACTTTGATTAACCGTCATCGCTGGGACCAGGGCTGCAAGAGATAACTGAATAGACTGATAACAGAAATCTCTTAATACACAGTTACAATACTGTGATTTCACTGCAGGCTTGAGATGAAAATAAAATACTTTAATGCATGCTTATTGTATTCAAATTTACAAAATGATCAGTATAAACTTCAATATAATAGTAGTAATGTCAAGAAATGTATGATGTTCCGTAACTTAGGCAGAAGTAGGACCTGTGTTGCATTTGCCTCCTCTTGCATTTCAAACCAGACGATGCACTTTGATAACATTGTTTCATCATACAGTACAATCACATCCAGCAGTTTATAGTAGAGTGTAAAAGTAATCTGTGGACAGTTTGAAAGATGTCTGTGTGTTTACTGACACTAATAATCATTTTTAAAGACAATGATGGATAACAGAAACTGACGGTTAATTGAAGTTTTACTGCTGTACCTGTCACAGTTGCTTACTTAGCAAAATAGCCTTTGTCAACATTGACCGCTAGCAACATGATGTACATACCCTCTGTAGGTTTGACAATGTCAAGATTCCCCTGTACATGGTGCAGGACACTTCCAGGCTGCCGGGATCTCCTGTCCCTGGAGAACACAGACAAGAACTCATTGAAAAATCACTGATAATTATTCACAAGAGAGCTCATGAGATAGTGAGTCAGATAACTTTGCCCTGATTTGGACAGCTAACTGTATATAGCTATTTCTTTTTTTTTTAAAAGCAACTAATTTTAAAGGTTTGGTGAAATCAGATGTGTTGTGCCAAAGGGCACAGATATTGCAGCATGGCTGTTAACTTGCAAAGACAACTCCGCTTTTATGTTCTCACCTCTATGAGGACATGTGACCTACTACCTAAAGTTAATGTCTTGTTTTTTCATGTTTAAAATATACCAAATATATGCACAGTCAAACAAACATAAAAATTAATTATTGATTTCAAAGCTGACAGTGACAGTAGAAATGTCTTATAAGATTTTAATTTCAAGAACCAAGCACAAATTACAATTCCCACCAATGGTAGTATCTACAGTCTTTAATGTCTGTATTAACCAATTTTGAGGCCAGGGTAGGACAAGGGTGGGTCTTCAGCTTGAGGGTTTAGGCCCACAGGGCTATTGTGCAGTTGGGGTTTTATTTTGCCCTCAACAGAAAAGAAAATCCACCGCCTTCCTGAGGATTTGAACATGTCTCTTGAATAAGAGTCTCGACAGAAAAGAAAATCCACCACCTTCCTGAGGATTTAAACATAAGTCTCTTGGATAAGAGTCTCAACAGAAAAGAAAATCCACCACCTTCCTGAGGATTTAAACATAAGTCTCTTGGATAAGAGTCTCAACAGAAAAGAAAATCCACCACCTTCCTGAGGATTTAAACATAAGTCTCTTGGATAAGAGTCTCAATAGAAAAGAAAATCCACCGCCTTCCTGAGGATTTAAACATAAGTCTCTTGAATAAGAGTCTCAACAGAAAAGAAAATCCACCACCTTCCTGAGGATTTAAACATAAGTCTCTTGGATAAGAGTCTCGACAGAAAAGAAAATCCACCACCTTCCTGAGGATTTAAACATAAGTCTCTTGGATAAGAGTCTCAACAGAAAAGAAAATCCACCACCTTCCTGAGGATTTAAACATAAGTCTCTTGGATAAGAGTCTCAACAGAAAAGAAAATCCACCACCTTCCTGAGGATTTAAACATAAGTCTCTTGGATAAGAGTCTCAACAGAAAAGAAAATCCACCGCCTTCCTGAGGATTTAAACATAAGTCTCTTGAATAAGAGTCTCAACAGAAAAGAAAATCCACCACCTTCCTGAGGATTTAAACATAAGTCTCTTGGATAAGAGTCTCAACAGAAAAGAAAATCCACCACCTTCCTGAGGATTTAAACATAAGTCTCTTGGATAAGAGTCTCAACAGAAAAGAAAATCCACCACCTTCCTGAGGATTTAAACATAAGTCTCTTGGATAAGAGTCTCAACAGAAAAGAAAATCCACCACCTTCCTGAGGATTTAAACATGTCTCTTGAATAAGAGTCTCAACAGAAAAGAAAATCAACCACCTTCCTGAGGATTTAAACATAAGTCTCTTGGATAAGAGCCCATCATTCTTTATTGTTCGGCCAACCACTCCACAGTAGTATCTACACACTGTCAAAAATATATTATGTATCTGCTGTCCATGGATCAACTAGTGTAGAAAGTGTTCACATCAAAGTTTTCCAGTATAACAATCTACCCAAGACATGGAACAAAAATAAATATCTCAGGAACATTATATGCAGTGAATTCGAGAAAGGCAAATACGAGAAATGTCAAGTCAACCGCTTATTTCAAGTTATAAAAAGAAGTGGACAGAGAATCATTAAATAGGCACTGGAGTGGGATACACACCTATTCAGGAAACAAGGACGTCCAAGAGAAACTCTATGACAAACACTAAAGAGAGAGGCCAAAGATTCTGGCCTGGATTACATCTATTGCACAGAATAAAAGAGAACAGAGAACTAGACTGCGAGTCCTGTATGATGTACAACAGCACAACAGGAGGACGCAATAACAAACAATAACAAAGATTACCTTGTGAATGAACACAGGGAGGCATAGGGTTTCCTACATTAGGTGTGACAAATGGATCGACACACAGGAAGCTGCACAGGTTCTTGACAATCTTGGAGTTCGGGCTGGGGTCTCGGTTTATGCACACCTTAATCAGCTGGGCCAGGCAGGCAGCAGCCTCTTCCTGTTGTGAAGAATAATATATTTTCTATCAGTTGGCATTTCAAATACACATTACACTTAAATGGGAATAAATGTTACTCAAAACTACAGAGGAACATTTCTTCTATCAATACTGAAATGAATGTGATATAAAACTATGAAGTATAATAATACATAATCCTTTTATATGAACACTGAAATAAATTTGTTGACTCAAAAGTCTGGGACAGAATCTCTGTTCTCAATAACTGTTAAGAGACATTGTGCCACTTCTTTTCTCTCCATCACTCCTTCGCATGTCCTCTCCCTAGCTCTATCTCTCTCTCCCCTCTCTGTCTAGCTTACTGTATATCCCTTACCATAAGATTAAACTCAATCTGTCACAACTACATAAGAACTCCCACTACACCATCTCATACTGCACCAGCAAAGCACACAATGCTAATAATATATCTATTCTATTTACCTGTAATGATTCATTTTCTTCCTTCTTAATTACATCCATCAGGGGGCGGACAACTGGATTTAATTTCTCTGGAAGTGCATCCAAAAGCTACCACTGCCATAGAAAATTTCATTTTCCCAAAACCACAAAAATTTAAGAGTTCAAAACATTTAAACAAGAAGGGCCCAAAAATCTGTCCTGGTTTTATTACCATTTGGACATTTTACAAATAAAAGGGGGATATTTTCTTCTTCTTTTTTTAAACCGGGCCTGAAAAGCCCCGAGGGAAAAAGCCGGGTTGTTTATCCTTTTTAATTTTGGGCCCTTTGTGCCGGGCCCCAAAAATTTTCCCAATGTAAAAATTTTTACGGGCCTTTATTTGTGTCCCAGTTGGTTGTTCCTTGCTGCTGGGCATTTTACTGGGGGGGCCCCCCTTGGGAAGGAAGTCCCCAGTAGAGGACTCCTACGACCATGATTGTTGGGGAGGCAGGGGGTTCTATTTTGGGTTTTTTCCCTTATGGGGCACCAGAACCCCGGGGAATATGGGAAAAAATTATTTATCAAATAAAAGGTGTCAACAATCAATTTTTTAAACTTTTTTGAAAAAAATTACTTTTTGAAAAAATAAACATCACAAAAAACCGGGCACACCCATCAGTTTGGCCTGCCTCCCCATATCAAAAAACCCTCGGGTTTAAAAATGGGGGATTTATTCCACTTGTTTAACAACAAAAACAAAACAAACCACCAAGAAAAGTAAAACTCTAACATAAACTGAGACCGGTAAGAGAATTTTTTCTGTAAATCTTAACATACACATTTTTTTTTTTTCAATGACATTGGGCACAAAGGATTCAATTAGAAAACGACAAAAAACTATATATAAACCCCCTCTCTGTGCCTTTTTTACAGCAAAAGCAACAGGACAAAGATTTTTTTAAACCACTAACAGCAAAGAAACACAGACATTTCTTTAAAAATTTTACAAAAACCCCAAAAACATTTTTTTAAATTTTACCAAAAACTAAATTTTTCCTTTCCCTTTTAAATTTTTACCTTTAACTCAAAACTTTTCCAAAAATTTTAGCAAAACCCTTAATACATTCTTTAAAATTTAGCAAATAACCTAATACATTCTTTAAAATTTTTAGCAAAAAACCTAATAATTTTTTAAAATTTTGAAAATAACCAATTAACTTTTTAAAGTTTAGCATCCAATTTACATTTTTTAAAAGTTTAGCAAAAAACCCAAATACATTCTTTTAAGTTTGGCAATAACTCAATACATACTTTAAAGTTTAGCAATAACTCAATACATACTTTAAAGTTTAGCAATAACTCAATACATACTTTAAAGTTTAGCAATAACCCCAATACTTTTTTAAAGTTTGGGCAAAAACTTAAAAACATCCTTTAAATTTTTAGCAAAAACTCAATACTACTTGAAATTTTTACCCAAAAAACTCAATACATACAAAAATTTTAGAAAATAACAATACATTCTTTAAATTTTTAGAAAACTCAATAAATTTTTTAAAAATTTTACAAAAACCTAAATACATCTTTTAAAAAGAAAAACCCTAATACATTCTTAAAGTTTAGCAATAACCTAATACATTCTTTAAATTTTTAGAAATTTAAACCTAATACATTTTTAAAATTTTTCCCCAAAAACCCCTATTCCCTTCTTTAAAATTTTCCAAAAAAACCAAATACTTCTTAAAGTTTAGCAATAACCTAATACATTCTTTAAAATTTAGCAATAACCTAATACATTCTTTAAAGTTTAGCAATAACCTAATACATTCTTTAAAATTTAGCAATAACCTAATCATTTTTTAATTTTTTGAATAACCTATACTTTTTTTAAAATTTTAGCAAAAAACCCAAATACATTCAAAAAAATTTAAGCAAAACCCTAAACCATTTTTAAATTTTAGCAAAAAACCAAATCCCTTTTTTAAATTTTAGCAAAACCAAATACATTCTTTAAATTTTAACCCTAACTTAAAAACATTTTTTTAAAGTTTACCCAAAAACTCAATACATTTTTTTAAAAATTTTTCGAAATAACCAAATACATTTTAAAGTTTGCAAAAACCCTAATCCCTTCTTTAAAA